CATGTCGGGCCACCTTCTTGTGGGCTTGACTATCTTCCGCATCCATATGTTCTCGAACTCTGACCATTAGCCGGTCAAAGTTAGTCACACGGTCTATGATGAGTGACTCAGACAACTTCTCATCTTTCAATCCTACAGAGATCACAGCCATGACGACCATGTTGCTAGGACCTTTGACTTTTAGCCTTTTGGCTTAAAATCTTTTAAAGTAGCCCCTAAGGCTCTCCCCTGGTTTTTTTATCTGCAGTAGGGCGGAGGAGGGTGTCTTCTGCTTAGTGTTAACTAAAAATGATGTACAAACTTTTGGCTGAGTTGTTCAAAATAGTGAATGGACTTTTTATCCAATGAGTTCCATCACATTTTGGCGCTTTCTGTTAAGGTGATCGAGAAATCTCTACAGATGATCAGATCGCTCACTTGTTGTATGCATATCAGATCATAGAAGTTTTATGTCTTCTCTGACAGATATCCTTTGCTTTTGTAATTTTTAATGTGAGGTATATTAAACTTGGTGCATGAAGTGTTCATGATCCAGTCGGCAAGATGAGGGTTCCCTCTGATGACGTCTGCAATGGTGTTAAACATCCAATCATAAACATATGAAAAACTAGTGGTGGAGGGGCCTGAAGCAACATGAGGATATATGTCACCGCGCGACGTCATCTATGTGGCGTGCTTGTGGTCGAAACTGGGACTCTCGCCAATTGCCTCCGTGTGCTGTGGTGGTTGCCAAGGATGAGCAACAAACGAGTCTGATGGCAAGGCATAGGAGAGGTATATTTAATTTGTTCCTCCCACATTTATTGTTCATATTGGTCCCTAGAGGGAGGAGCGACGGATGATGGAGGAGGTTGTGGGGGAGGAATCCGGCTGAGAAGTTTGTTTGTGAAAGAAGCGAACTGTTGCTAAAGAGATTTAGAAATTCTTCACACAGATTCTTCTAGTTGAGCCTGAGTGACGTAGTCTGCATTAGATCTTCTATAGTAGGAGGAAATGATGATCGATCTCAATGGTTAGAACTAACCATCTTGTGTAAAGAAGAAAAAGAGGCCCACGGTGGGCATTAAACTGTTGATGTGAGATGTTTAACAGTAGGGTTTTGTGTGAGTTATAGGGTATTTAGGGTCCCTCAGTCTTCTTTGATGGATGATTATTGAGTAGAAAAGTTCGATCCTACACACAAATAATATATAAGAGGATCGGAGTTGGGTTCTCTGGTAGTTCCTCTGATCAAGTCAGTATTGATCTCAGGCAAAGAAAATATGTGTACTATGGGTTGTAGTGTAAAAGTTGCCTACCTCCATGCAGCAGGTAATGCGTATATTTATAGTAGATTCTGGACGGTATTTGCATAACTTCGGCCTAGTCCAAGCAGTTAGCTTGATCAGCTGATACTTTATAGGTGTCGACAGCGGGTGATCCGAGTCATCCCCAAATTTATTATGGTGGCGACAAAAGGGCTACAGTGCCAGCGTGCTCCAATGAGTCATTATAAATCCAAATGTAATTATAGCTTTGACTATACATTTAATGTTATGACGACTTGTTGTCGTTGAGGGGTTCGAGAAAGACCGCTTTTCGTCTTGGCTTTTCGAGGGTGGGCGAGAAAAGACGCCTTTCAATTCTGCTGTTGTGAATGAGAATGCTTCTCGACTTGGTCAACTGAGTGATAACACATTAAGTTGGTTTTAGCAGAAGGGCCCGAGTAAGGACGCCTTTCAACTCGGCCCTCTTGGAAGGGCCGAGTGATGGCGTCCTTTGACTCGGTCTCTATGAGGTCAGATCTGGTTGGTATATAGTTAATTTGGACACGTGTCATATCCAGTATTGAGATTAACACTTGGTTATTTCTATGATACAACACCCTCTAAAAATCATTTACAAGAGAGAATTTAGTTTTGTCCCTCATTCTAGCTCACCTTCCCTCCTATTGATTCAATAATCAAATATGTATAGTGACCAGTCTCTCCTAAAACTTGAAAGGAACATTCCATTCCAAATCAAACATACTACGATGACTAATTTCAACAGAATTATATTGGCTAAATTACTAGAATAGTATTTTTTTTCTTGACCCCCTTTTAACCATTTTGTTGGTTTTTTTGCTTTGCCGTTATTTCGTGTTTTTTCTTGACAAAATGGTCAAATAGGCCTAAAAGTTGGTCGTTGTAAGAAAATGTTGAATCCCTCAAATTTTCACTCTTTTGAAATTAGTTCCCAAAATCATTAATATTTAAAATTAGTCTACCAATTTAACTTAATTGAGTTAAATGGATAAGTGGTTTGTAAGGTGGTGAAATGCAGAAAATGAGTATTTGAAATAGGTTTGGATTTATAATTGACTTAAATGGATAGGAAATTTGTAAGGAGATGAAATGGGTAAGAGGCTTGTAAGGGGATAAAATAGAGAAATGAGAGTTTAAAATGAGTTCGGGTTTGTAATTGAGTTAAAAAGGTAAGGAGTTTTGTGAAGGAATCAAATTGGAGAAGATGAGATCTTGAAATGGATTTGTATTTGCAATTGAGTTAAATGAGTAAGAAGTTTATAAAGGGATGAAATGAAGATGATAAGAGTATGAAATGAGTTTGGATTTGTGGAGAAGATGAAAGCATGAAATGAATTTGGATTCATACTTGAATTAAATTGGTAAGGAGTTTGTAAGTGAATGAAATGGTGAAGATGCGAGTATGAAAATGAGTTTAGGTTTGTACTTGAGTTAAATGGGTAAGGGGTTTGTAAGGGGATGAAATGGAGAAGATGAAAGTTTAAAATGAATTTGAGTTTGTAATTGAGTAAAATAGGTAAACTAATCTCAAATTTTAATGATTAGGGGACTAATATCAAAATAGTAAAGATATGAGGAACTAGTTTTAAACATTTCTAATTAGCGACCAACTTTTAGGCTATTTGACCATTGGGTCAAAAAAAACCAAAATAATACCGAAGCAAGAAAAAAAATACCAATATGATAAGAGAGGTCAGGGAAAATACCAATATGATAATTTAGACCAATTATGTTATTTTGGGTATTAATTCAAGTTTTAGTGGTTCATGGGACTAATACAAAATATTAAAAATATGAGGTACTAATACAAATAAAACGCCAAAAGAAGGGTTTTTTAGTAGAAACCACATTCAAAGGATGCTTATTCTATAGAAATCATATTTTATTTTCAATTTATACATAAGCTATCTTTAAAATATTTTTATCGCAATTAACCACATAAGCCCACTTTTAGGCCATCTTTTTCGGTTTTGCTGTAATAATTTAGTTATTAAAAACCAAATATATTAGACAGACGGTCCTCAAATGAGGTTAGATAAGGTCAATTACCAAAAAAACTTAACTAAAAAGTAAACACAGACAGTTACTTGTAACAAAAAAACACTTTAAAAATAGTTTATTTTTAAATTTAAAAAATAAAAGGGAATTCCCATACAACTATATTATTTTAAAATATTATAATACATAGACAGTTACCTTTAAAAAAGTAAACACAGACATTTACCTTTAAAAAATAATTTTATAATAAATTAATAATTATAAAATATTATATAATAGTAACATATTTAATAATAGCATAACAATATAATAATATTATTATAATAACATATTGTATAGTAAATGTAATATAATATTAAATATTAATATATTACGTAATAAATAATTATAATTTATTATGAAGTAAAATAATTTTTAATAATAAAATAATTTATTGCTAACAAATGTTAATGTAAAAATAATATATTCATACTATAATAATATTTATTTATATCATAAAGACTAATATATATAATATTATAATACATTATATAATATTATATTGTATTACATTTAATACTAACAATACAATAATAATGTAAACTAAATATTATAATATTTTATTTATAATATATTTTATTATAATTAATATATATTATGTTAATAATATGTTTAATACTAATGTTATAATGGGTCAAACTAGTGTTAACCAAAAATACTTAACATAGTATTTTAAAAATATTTTAAGGAAAAAACACAACACCATGGTGTTTTTTTTTACAAAAACACAATAAGAAAAACACAATGGTATTCATATGAAGCCTTAATGATTAGGGGGACTAATATCAAAATAGTAAAGATATGAGGAACTAGTTTTAAACATTTCTGATCAGTGACCAACTTTTAGGCTATTTGACCATCGGGCCAAAAAAACTAAAATAATACTGAAGCAAGGAAAAAAAATACCAATACGATAACATAGGTCAGGAAAAATACCAATATGGCAATTTAGACCAATTATATTATTTTGGGTATTAATTCAAGTTTCAGTGGTTCATGGGACTAATACAAAATATTAAAAATATAAGGTACTTATACAAATAAAACGCCAAAAATAAAGGTTTTTAGTAGAAATCACATTCAAAGATGCTTATTCTATAGAAATCATATTTTATTTTTAATTTATACATAAGCTACCTTTAAAATATTTTTTATTGCAATCAACCACGTAAGCCCAGTTTTAGGCCACCTTTTTCGGTTTTGCTGTAATAATTTAGTTATTAAAAACCAAATATATTAGACAGACGGTCCTCAAATGAGGTTAGATAAGGTCAATTACAGAAAAAACTTAACTAAAAAGTAAACACAGACAGTTACTTGTAACAAAAAAACACTTTAAAAATAGTTTATTTTTAAATTAAAAAAATAAAAGGGAATTCCCATATGACGATATTATTTTAAAAGCGGTTTCTTAAAAAAAAATCCTAAAAAGAAACTGAAAGTGCCACGCATCGCAGTCAAAGAGCAATAGATTTTATTCCTCTAGAAGACGGACCGAAACAGTAGCGGCACAGTGTCGGAGTATTATTTCTGGTCGACACCCCAAAGTTCACCCACCATTATAATTATGGTCCCACACGATATCCTCGAGGTTATAAATTGGGTTTTGTTGCTAAAGCGGTGTCATTAACTATTCACGCTTCTCCCAGTCTCTTTGACCCACATTTCAAAATCTCTCAAATAGCCGCGAAAAGAACCAAGAAAAGGAGAAAAAAGAAAAATCGAAATCCCTATTTCCCCTTTTTTTAGAAATTTAGGGTTTCTAATATTCCTCACTCTGCTCTCTTCTCCCATTCCCCTTCTTCGTCCCGCTATGTGTTTGTGCTGTCCCAAACCCTAGTTCTTGGTGAAAGGGGAAAAAAATTAGGGTTTGGAGATGTCAATTGAAGAGAGCAGATGCAATGTGGAGTTGAAGCAGGAGGTTCTGTCATCTAATGAGAGGTTGTTAACGTACAGGAGAAGGAAACGTGCGAGAAATGGGTTTTCAGCGGACGAGGAGGTGAAAAGTTCTTCATTTTGATCTTTATTGCAAATAATTTACGAAAATTGCAAATATTTTACGAAAAGATTGAGTCTTTCTTGAGCTAGGTGGAGTATTTATTGTTTGATAGTGGCAATGGTACGATATATCTGAATCTTTTACATTCTAATGTTGAGGAATGGGGCTTCTTTCGAACCAATTTTGCAAAAAATTCTTTTCGTTCTTGCACGTTGCAACAATTTCTTCACTTCTTGCTTTCGTTGAGCTGAAAACATGAAACCTCTGTTTACCTTTCTTGATTCTGGAGCACAGCATTGGATCTGGCAGTACAAGATTTGCAATCCCCAACAGACGTACTACAACGTTTTTTTTTATCATTAGACCTGAAATTCTTTAGGTTTATAAAGTGAAGGAAGACTCTGAGTCCTGTTCTTGCAAGTATTTGTCTTAATTATCGACGCTGATACTTGTGGCGTGGCACATTGATAAATGTTTGCAAAGTTTCTTCATCCGTATGCCTATTCATTTACGAATTTGCATCTTTGTTCATTTGAGCAAGGTCAAGTTTTTGTTTGGGAAGTTGTCTAATTTAACCGTTAATTCTTTCGTATGTGATTTCTTTCTTGGTATCTTTCAATGTGTACAGTTGTCCCTTTCTAGTTCCTAGTAGTTTTGAAACAATTGTCTATTGTTTCACTATGATAAAGTTTGATCTGGATTTGGATTGTGATGTAGTGGTAGAAAATTCACCACCTTTGTTCTCCTTGCTGCTAATTCATAGGCTGGAATGTAGAACAACACATGCACACATAACATTGATTTTTCTAGGTAGAATCTCAGGACGATCTGCACTGGCACGGGAGGAAGACATATTCTAGGGTAAACTGTTAATACATTATTATATTGCCAATCGGCTGGAGCGAATAATTATACACTCACGTAAGGCAAATTTGACATGTACGTTGTGATAAAATTTGTTGAATATTTCAATTTTGATAAAGATGATACAATGAATGACATTCTACACGGTTTTACATGAAAGTGTATTCCTTTTGACACTTCAGTGGATTGAGTTGTTTAATTGTCCTTGTGAAGAGGGTAACTAAAATGCTTTCATTTGGATAACCTCAAAGGATACATAGATTTGGAAACTAGGATGAAGACAGGGATTTACTCAACTTAAGTATTCACAGTCCATAGTTGACTCATGCTCAATCTCAATGCAAACATTTAATTCTCAAACAGAGGTTTCTTCTTAGGGTACTCACGCTCGTTCTCAAATACCACCCTAGCCTTAAACTCTATAACAATGGTCCATTCCTAAACGCTACGCAAGTGATACCGATATACCCTTCCCTTCCCTGCTGCGCCCTAGGGGGATTTAAGAATTAGCCGTTTGACATCATGCATCATTTAGAGAAAACTTTAAGCAATGCCACTTTGCTAATTCTTTTAACACTTGGTCCAACACTGAATCCTCTCTTTCAAAGCATATTCTCTATGTCCTCTTATTTAGCAGAACTTCTCATGTTATAGGAAGGTGACTAAGTAGCGGTGCCCTTGCGTATGTATGAAATTCTAATGTTGCTGATGCAACAGTAATGACTGTTTACTATCTCAGACTTGTGAGAAAGAGTTTAAGTTGTATTTTGGCACGCCTATAGTTTTGAAAACAAATATTTATGAGGCGTGTTGGTGGGATGTCTTATAGAGAGATTATGTTCCACCGGTCAAGTTTTTGAAAGCTCACCCAATCAGGTTTTAAGTACGAGCATAAGATCTACGAACTTTAAATTTGTGATTAAATAATGAATCTTGGAAGAAATCACAAAAACAATTTAACAAAAAATGTCATCGTCAATATTTGGAACTGTCATCGAAGTAGTTGTTTAATTATTGGTGTTTCTTTCTGTAAAAAAATTAAGTTCTTTGATGAGTAAGGTGAAAAGCTCTGGAAACCTGTATAATCTTATTTCCTATTACATGAATGACTCTTATGTTTTGTCAGCATAATGATTATTGCCTCATTTCAATCTATATTCTATACACTTCAAGTTCCCCAATACGTTGCCTGTCATTACATACAGCCTTGATGCTGACTTACATGTCTTGGTTGTTGAATTGTCCTGTTTCTTGTTACGACAACTATCATGTCATCATCTCTCAAACTTCATAGATCTGTACATTATTCTTCTGTTTCCCTTTCAGAGATATTGTTTGTGTGTGCAACAGACTATGAAGGACATGTCATCATCCCTCAAACTTCATAGATCTGTACATTGTAGCTATATGGATTCTGTTTCCTTTCAGATATATTGTTTGTGTGCAACAGGCTATGAAGGAACTTCGTCATATAATGTTATGTACTACCAATTGTGGGCAAGGTGATATTTCAAGAAGAAATAGCCACTGGAGAAACGTGTTGGAACACATGCTGCAATTGCCAGATGTCTGTGAAGGTGGTGGTATTGAAAGCAGTATCAGTGATGCACTAACCCATGGCCCGCCTGCGGATAATAGAGAGTCTAATATGGCTGATGTTCGTGCAGACATTACTGATAGTAAGGTATTATGGTAAATTGGTCTTTCAGACAATTCTCAATTGCGATTGACATTCTTACTTGTGTTGGTAAGTAAGTAGGTTTTATTTATTATTACAGGACAGACATAAAAGCCACTTTGGCGTGACATGTCAGTCTATAAGGATGGATGTTTCGGAATATACCTTAGTGAATGTGTCAGAAACGGGAACCTATGATCCGACCAATGCAATTGCTGACAAGCAAAAGTGCCAGGATGCTTTCTTTAATATTTTATGCTCGGAGAAATTTGCTTCCTTATGCAATTTACTTTGTGAAAGCTTCCAAGTCATAAAAGTTGACAAGTTATTTGACATTAGCCAGATCAACTCCAATATGAAAAATGGAGTGTATGACCAGTCTCCGGGATTATTTAGTGAAGATCTGCAGCAGGTACCTTAGCTTAGCCATTTATCATTTTATCTTGCAGTAATATGTCTGAATATTGTCTTAATGTTAGTTCTTTAAGTTATGTGACAGCAGTTTTACTTGGTGACACTAAGACATATCAATCGTGTTTATTGTATTGCATTAGCAAACACCATTAAACTAGTTTAATTTGCCCATCTGTTGGAGCTCTGGTTGTATGTCAAACAATGTCCTGGAGTTGTTTACTTGCTGCTGATTGATTTATTTGAAATACAGAATTTGGGATTTGCTTGTTTCACATTGCTTGGCACTTGTGGAGATCTCTCTCTAATTTGCATAATCCTCAAGTATTGAATATCATCGTAACAGTTATCACAATTCCTCCATGGTTTCCAATGCCCTTTTTCTCTCTTTTAATTGGGGCAGTATTTTATGAAACATGCGCGCGCGCACACACCCCTTTTCACTTGATATGCCTGTTGTATCTTTTTCTAATAGTACCATTGTCACTTGTTCTCCTTGTTGAATAGAACTTGTTAGTAGGTTTTGATAGTGTTGGTTACACTTCCACAGTGTCTTTGTGTTCCTTTTTTCCAAATGGTTAATTCGACATTTAGTATGCCTGAGGATTGTGTAGCAAAGGTTTTGGTAAATATTATCTATAAGTTTGATAGTCATGATGCTTTTACTATCCTAAAGTAATCGTTCAGGGTTTCCAGCACTGATTTATGCTGCTTGTCATTTTGGAATAAGGCTTATTAGTTGCTATGTTTTATTCTTGACTCTCTGTTTTTTAAGTATCTAGATAGTCGAGTAATTTCTGATTGATTCTTGATTTTTAGTGCCCATTATTTTTTTTTCCCGTCTGATGTTAGGTATTAATTTCCCTAATTCATTCTGCAGCTGTGGAGAAAGTTCAGAAAAATTGGTGAAGAAATGGTCCTTCTTGCGAGTTGTCTTTCAAATATGTCCCAAGGGGTTCATCAGAAGCAGGTAAGAAGAACGGGCTATTTCTTCCTTTTCACTGTCTATTTCATAGCTGTAGATACTTCATCATATTATCTTAAGAAAACTGATAGTGCACACACCCAAGCTGCAGGTCTGAGATGCAAAGCTGGTGCTATTGATCTATATATCCTTGTTTTTAGGCCAATTAATTTACTGTTATAGCCATTGCAGTGCATCTTTTAAATAAAGGGGGAATTAGATTAAAGCAATAATCACGAAACATCAAATAAATAGAGGACATCAGTATTCTAGGATTCATCTTTCACAATAATTCCACCTTAAATTGTATTCTATTCCCGAGATGGCCTCCATTGTGTCTGGAGGTTTTGGCAGCCCCTATGTTATCTTGGTGGCCTTCCATAGTGCAAACTAAAGATAGTGTTCAATACTAATTTAAATATATATACAGAAGTTTGGCTTACAGTTGACGCACCACTTACTTTTCAAAGAAAAGAAATATTTCGAGTAAAGTGAAAACATGAATATCCATTTTATCACCTTTTAAGCAAAAATATTTCTCTTATTTCTATTTTGAGATGGTTCGACTTTATTCTTTTCCGACCATTGTTTTTCCTTGTGTTGCATGTTCATTTTTCTCCTCTATTTTCTAGTTTTAAATTGTACGTGGTACTGCAGACCTATAGAATCTGCTTGGATCCCGACATCATTTTTGTTCCGCTTGTTTTTGTAGCCTGAAAGTACAAATATCCCAACTAGGGGCTGCATTCTGTCCAAATACGGCTCAGATATGACACTAATTATATCCATATCCACTTACCCATCATGGATATGGATACAGATATATCTCGGTAAGGAAAATTCATATTCATATCCGCAAAAAATCGGATACGAATATGGATATACATGTGGATATATAAGCAGATATACATACAGATAAAAAATGGATATGAGAAACTTAGATAATATTAGAAAAAATATAGTTCATGTGATAGAAAAGAGTTCATTAATATGTTCATTATATTTGAAAAGCTAAGATTAGACATCTTGATCATCAAAATTAACCCCAAATCCATTAATCTACGGGTTAAAACTATTGCACGACGTGATACTATATAATATAAGTATATATATATATATATTAAGTAATCTGGGATAGTGCTACTACCAATAATAAATATTTGTGTTGGTAGTGATGTCTTATTCCCCATTCAACTCATCTCCAATTCCCAACCCTCACCTAACCCATCTGCTGAATGTGTGGGCTCCCGATTTCAATGATGGTGGGAATATATCATCCAACTACCAAGCACAAAAACTATTAGCTTTGTACCGAAAACAACATATTTCTCTCTCTCTCTCTTCTCTCGTCTCCTATTATATATATATATAGTATATAAAGTATATATATATATATATATATATATATAAAATTATTATATATACGATTAGAAATCGAGAATAAGTAGATATAGGGGAATTAACAGTGATCCGGAATATTTTCTTCAATATAAAAGACATTATCCGAAGCCATATCTATCCGGCTTAATCAGATTTGAGTAGAGTCATGGTCCGTATCTATCGGATGACGGTTAACAGATATTTCCCGGCATCGGATATTAGATACGGTATAGACACCAATCCTAAATCATGACCCACAATTCTTGTAGTCTACTTAATGAGCCCCCGCCAAGGTTCCAAGTTTTTTCCATGATAGTGATGCTTGCCATGCTCCTCATTGTAACTTATCTGCATAAGAACTCGTGTAATATTTGCATAGGTTGCAGAAGACCTGGTAGGGGAAAGCTGTCCGCTGAAATGTGAGGCAAGTGATGCTCTTTAACTCAAGCTTTTGTTTGTTTATTTGATTTGGGATGACCGTGATGCAGTGTTCTTCAACATCAGCCAATAAACCATAAAATTTAGGCTTAATTTCAGATTGACCCCTGTAGTATCACTGTTCAAAACTCACTACCTTGTAGTTTCATTCTTGCAAATAGACCCCCTAGATTTAAATATCTTTTAACTCTTTTACCCTCAAACTCAATAATTTCACCAGTTCCAAAATTTCACCCAGTGTAAAACTGTGAAAATAACACTGGTGGTCTACCTGCAACAATGAATTACAGGGTTAGTAAGTTGAAAACAGCAATACAAGGTGCCAATGTGAACTCAATCCTAAAATTGTGATATAGCTTTTAACCTTTTATTTTACCTTCTCTTTGCAGGAGAACTGTCAGGTCGAAGCTATAACAAAGAATTCCAACGGCTCAAATACCATGATACAACTCCCATCCTGTGAATCTGTTCCCTCCACTAAACCAAATCAAACCGAGGTTTCTGTTCTTTACAAAGCTTGCACTTGCAAGCAATGTGGCAATGAAGCCGATGCTAAGCACAGTCTTATCTGTGATGAATGTGAAGCTGTCTATCATTTCTCTTGTGTCAAGCCTACTGTCCAAGAAATCCCCACTAAGAGCTGGTATTGCACTTTCTGTTCTCAGAAAACAAAACAATCTTCTTCAGAAAATACCCAAGAAAATGGCTTGCATAATAGTAACTGTGCGGTATGTGAGAGGCTTGAAATCCCCGAGCCGAAAGAGAACCTCAATGAAAGCATCGGGGAGAGCTCGGACTCTAGTCTGGAGTCTGATGAGCCACCAGAACCATCTAGGACTGCTTTATCGCGCTTATGCAAGCAATGTGGAACTTGTGAAGATGACGATAAAAGATTCTTAATATGTGGGCATAGTCAATGTCCGTATAAGTTTTATCATATCCGGTGCTTGACAACTACGCAAATGGCGAGTCTTCAACAGAAAGGCCAAGATTGTTGGTACTGCCCTTCTTGCCTCTGTAGGGCTTGCTTTCATAACAAGGATGATGATAAGATAGTCTTGTGTGATAATTGCGATGAGGCTTATCATATATATTGTATGAAACCTCCGAGGGCTTCGATACCTAATGGTCAGTGGTATTGTCTAAAGTGTAATATAGCAAAGGCGAAAGAAGGGATGAAGAGGTATGAGCAGTGGGTCTTGCAACAGCATGGAAAAAAGAACGGCAGACAAGCTAATGAAGAAAATAGGCATGTGGATATGATACTCAAAGTTGTTGATGAGTTGAACTCAGAAGAGAAATCTGCGGCTAGAAGAAAAAAGTAGAACAAGAAAACTATTTGCATGTCCATCTAAATCCCTGCTCAGTGAGGATTTTGATTTTTGACAGTTGGGTGCATCCTTGCCCTTGTGTCTACTTTTCGGTAGCTTAATTGTATTTTTGGTCCCATGGATGGAGCATTGGCATAGTACCTGTACTTTCCAGAAAATGTGACAAATGCATCTTTTTCTGTAGGCGATTTTGGCAAAAAAAAATACAAGGGGTGGTTTACAAATTTTTGATGTTTCAGTAGAAATCCAATATCTTCTTGAAGGCATTATGATGATTTTGCATTTGTAAGCTTCTCTAGCAGGATGAAATAAACTACTAGTGAAGAATGCTTTTATTTTCTTCTGATAAGATAAGAATGCTTTTATTAACTGTTGCGAGAAGAACAGTTGATGAAATTGGTGATTATCGCAGAGCTTCTGTGAGGTAAAAACTCCGTACTAGCTATGTTTAATCTGTCCTCGATGATTCTTTGTGCACTTATGAGATTATCAAAGCTTAAAGCCATTTTATTGACTTAGTTTTAATAAATTTCCTCGATAATTAAACTTGTTCCGTGTAACATCAATTTTTTTGGGCGCTAAGCTTCAAAATGTGGCTGGATTTCTTGTCGGATGTGAAGGAACACCGAACTTTTTAGAAACTTGAAGGGGGGTATGGATGGGATTTTCTGGATACGTGTATTTGATCATGCACTTTCAAAGTTGAACAAAGTTGGGAGCTTAATCCCACATCGGGTGCAGTAGAAATCAAAGAGGGGGAGATGGGTATAAAATAAGGAGGGGGTGCGACTATGTAAGATACTTACCTGGACGGGGTCCTTGGGTGATCATGGAGGCCCAGGCCTAGTCCAGCGGCCCACATTGCACATACAGTGGGTGCGCTGGGCTACCATCTCCCCAAGTGGGAGAGTGGACGTCATTATTTGTTGCCGAGGGGGAACGCGCACGCGCGGCCCCCGCCCAAAGCTTAACTACCAAATTTTCGTAACGGGCCTTATAGGCCTTTTATGGACTTTATAGGCCTGGTTTAGGAATGCTAACTTTAGTGTTACGCATTTGGCCCGTAGAAGTCGCAGTGTGGCTTATTCGGTAACTCTATAGAAATTTTCTAATAAAATTGATAAGAAATGGGAATGTTATTTTTAGTATTTCAAAACACATCATGTTTAGTATGGGTATGAATGACAATTTGGAATTTTATTCCATTCCCACTCATTCTTGTATGTCAAACGCAGCTTCAATCGTAGCGAACTCCCATATAAACTTTCATAATCACACAGCTTTTGTCAAAAATCCCCATGAACTAACATAAACTAGAACCAAAAAACAACAAAAAAAAAAAGGAATTTTGAAAGTTCAAGGGCTTTTCTGCAGCTCCAAAAAGTTCACCGGGGTTTCGGTGTGATTTTGAAAGTTTCATGGGGGTTTACTACAAAGCACTGAAATTCCATGGGGGTTTAGTGCAATTTACCCTTTATAAAAGACAGTAAGTACAGCTGTCTTTCATCTAATTTAATCTTTTTTATTTGTAGAAGTTCCAATCTTAACCGTGATCAGTTCTAATGTAACTAGGATAGTCTCATCAATGCTAAACCCACTTGCTTATGTATTTTGGTCTGTGAAAGTTCTCAGATACAGGCAACTTGAGTTAATTTAGTAAAGGTATACTAAAAGTAAATGTATTTTTCAACTGCATTTGTATACTAAACGAATATCATTCTTTTATTTTCAAGAATACATCCACACCGCAACAGAACACTGAAAATTCTCCGGAAAAAAAAAATCACACGCTCAATCCAACAAACTATACTTCTAAAAACGAAAAAAAAAATATATATATAATGTACAATCAATCAATACAAGCCAATATAATCTGGTTGACCATTGAAATCAACAAGTACTTATGTCATACACAATCAAACTAGCTTGACTCCGATCAAAACCCTTCTCTCATCACAAGAAGATGAAGCACTCCATCGATATTAGAGGATTGTCCAAATCCTCCACAACTTTCAAACCTAATCTCTTCTGTGAGCTACAAAGATTCAAAGGCTTAACCTTCTCATTTCTCTTCACTAGCCTGTGTGAATCCTTGACCCCATTATTCCTAGAGCTCAGCGTCCTACTCGGGTTAGAAACTACTGGCTTATTCTCACTCCTCAAGCTCTTGTGCCTAGCAATCGGCCTTTGAGGCGAGCACGATCTCTCTCTTTTCGATGGCAACATCTTCGGCTTTGGGGGGCAGTACCTATGAGGGTCAAGAATGATTATGTCTGGGCTTTTCATGGTTACGCTTTTGCTCGAAACCGAAGGACAAGAAGAAGAACTAATACTAGTGCTAGATACCGAAGACAGAGAATTCGAAGAGGAAGACAATGAAGAAGATGATGATAATGAAGGGGGTTGAATTTGTTCAGGGGGGAGTTGAGATTGAGAGATGACAAGCTTGTCTTGAGGACAGTTTGTATTTGTTTGAGGAGGAGAGGAATTGATGCAGCATTTGCTAATGCAAGTGCCCATTTTTTATGGATTTGAGAAATAAAAATAGAGTGAGGAGGTAGATTTTAAGGAGTCTGAGAGAAGTTTAAATTGTATCGGCGGGGTTGGAAACCGTTGGGCAACGGATACATGGGATTTTGTGATAATGATGGGCGGTGACTTTTAACAGGAGCAGCTCGTTTGCGTGGCGTGATTAAAGGCAGTGTGAGGCTTTTTTAAGTTTGGGGGACAATAAAGTTTGCAACTTCAAGGTGGGTAGCACCCGTAAACAAGATAGGGTTATTTAGATATTAGTCCCTCGCATCTTTAATAGTTTCACACTAGTCCCTCAAATCTTCGCAATCGCTGCCCAAGATGCCTTGCGATTATTGGTCCCTTTACGACCAAAATATCTCTCGGTTTATGTTTTTCGTTAGCGCATTGCGAGAGAGCTTAGGAAATAATGCACTAGTTCGAAGATTATTATTGTTCGTTTGATGCATCAAGTATTCAGTGGATAAAGAACAATGCAGGCTGATTGAAATCACTCGCTGGGTAGCTTCCCTCAAAATTGTAACTGCAACTTAAATTACAAACTTACAGAAGACGGTTTTCTTGTTTTTTAGACCCTAATACCAATTAAAACAAAGATAAAGAGGTTAACCAAAAACTCTTAACATAAGTGAGGTTGAGAGGGTAAAAGCTGTGGCATTCCTTGAACTTGTTTGACATTTTTATCACGAGTAACATGGTTTTTTACCAAAGGGACTGTCAAATGTGTTATCTGTCATCGAACTTTTCTGCTTCACTCAAAACTTCGATATGCGCCGTTTATGATCATATACATAGGCTATCAAGAGGACGTAGAGAACATTTTATCAGAAAACAGTAAGCTTCACGAACAGTGAAATATGTAACTTTAGCAAGTGATCCATACTTGACACCACCAGTAAAATTGTATAAGAGAGATGCTTCTAAATAACAATGACCCCAGACTGAGAGAAAAAAACAAAGTTCAGATAACACAACAAAATAAAAAGTGTGTACCATTTGTTTTGTACAAGTTGAACGAACTCCATTCATGCTCCATGAATTTATGGAAAACAAAATATAAACACTTGTTTCATTCTGAAACTTAACAGAAACAAGGCCTTCCCCCCCTGGAGTAGCCAATCAATCGTTTCATGCGTTCATACAATTTCGATGATCAGATCTACTTATAGTAGAAAGAATCGGAACGAAAGAATGGATTGCGGGCAATGTCATGCATCTTTCTTCATTGCCAGTTTACTCATATATTGCTTTCGATTATAATGTCAGAGAAGTAAGGCAAAAAAGGCGTGTAATAATGTTCCGGGGTTCACCCATTTCCCAATTCTTTCAAGGAATGCACTTTGTGAGCCATCTAATTTCAAGTTGAGTGTTCTCTGGAGATCAAAGCAACATGTAAGCGTAACAGTCCATTACATATAGGTTTGGGTAATTTCAAAGCCCCCCAATTAGTTTGAAAATTTATTATAACCCCAAATAAGTTGGGAAATCTAGAAAACCACCAAAAGATATTCTTTCACTTAACACCCATGACGACGCTACATAAACTATCATCAATTTAGAGGCTTGAAGGATGAAACTACCGAAAACAATTTTAGGGGATTGGGAGCTCCGATCTGGGAGCATACGCGACCACAGAGGAGAAAGAAGAGGGAGAAGTGATTTTAGGATGAAACATATAAAAGATGCTGGGTATGTTGGTCTTTTGACAGCACACGACAGACCAAAGCTAACAGGGTTAGTTCTGGAGGTTTTGGGACAAACTTATTGAGGGTCGAGTGAAATTTTCAAACTTTGGGGGTTAAGTGAACAACACCCAAACTTATTGGGGGATTCTGAAACTTACCTTATGAGTCCTAAGTGCAGGGCAAGGATTTCCTTACCTGTGTTGCTTCTTTAAGAGGACCCCAGCATTCAACTTTGTTGTACTTCTTTGAATTGGAATGAAAATACACAAACACCACAGCCTCCATCAGCTCGGGATGCTTGCTGAACAGGGCAGAGTCTCCATAAACAACAGCTTCAAGAACCTAATAATAATCAAAACTACAGCTATTATCGTGGTGTCTTCATTAACTTTTAATGCTCGAAAGTCAAATCATATGTTCGATGAATAAATTATCATAACAACTTCATCAACATGGAGATGTTTCCATTTAAATAACCTGGCTTCTATATAGCTGCAGATAAACGCAGTTCTCTTAATCCAAGAATTATTCAAGTATGGAGGGTTGCCGATGGCAGCTGGATTTAAACTTCACGATGATAGGGGTTTCATGGCTATCTCACCTCCTGGGTATATTATCTGTTTATTTTCACGTTGGTGCCCCAAAGTTTACCCAGTTTTAGCTTTGCTACTTCAAATTATTTTTTAACCTTTTGATACCCCAAAGTTTCCATCTCATTTCACTTTGATACCCCCATCCAAATTGCATTAGGTTTTATACTAAATTTATCCCAGGTGCTATCCCCGTCCGCTACTATGGGAACATTTGGTTGTTTGGAACCCTATCCTATCAACTAGGAAAATTGACCTAAAATGTACAAATTTTAACAGAAAATCTAATGACATCTGGGAGGGTATCAAATGGAATTGAAACTTTGGCAAAGTGTTAAATACTTTGGAGTATCAAAGTGAAAAACCAGGAAAATTTTGAGGTACCAAAGAGAAAATAAGCCGTCCTTATTAATGGGAAAACAGGAGGAAGAAATTTATGGTGATGATATTTAAAATGAGAATATAATTAATGCTTAAGCAAAATACTTACCAACGGAAGCTCCTTAGAGAAGACATAGTATCTAAACCCAGCAGCAAGCTCTTGGACGGGATTGGCGCCACTTACATAGCAGTGAACATGCAAAGACATCTCATCTTTCACTTTTTTCCACTCGGCTACAACGTCGTCCCTCTGTAATGTCGTTTGCCACTCCCTCAGCTGTCATCAACATGAGAAACTGTCATTTGATAATTTGACAAGATGTCTAATTGTTCATTATTTTTCTTGTTTCAGAGGAATATCTGACACTTTAGTTAGAAATACTAAATCATTCGGTTGTTGGACATGACACGAAAATAACGATGCAAAAAATCCATATAAGTAGGACCTGGGGACCTGGATACTTGACAAACATAAATGCACACTTAAAGAGAAACGAGAGTATATTACGTGAGAGAGAGAGAGAGAGAGAGTATGCTCATCCATCCAAATGCCAGTACTCTCATTCCTACAATATAATAGCATATGACACGATAGTTTCGTAAGTGCTACAACTTCAACCTAGCATACAGTTTATATGAACTCCAAGAATTAACTGTAAGTAGTATTTCTAGGATTGGGACTTCAACCTAGTATACAGTTTATATGAACTCCAAGAATCTAACATAAACTAGAATTAAGTTCCCAAGTCTACACAGAGCTTATCTTTATTTATTTATAAAAAAAAGGTCTACACAGAGCTGAGTTGGCGAGCAGAGAGCTTTGAATCTGTAGATTATTGGTGAAGTGTTAGCATGGTGAGGTCATCAAATCCTTAAATGAGTATGCCACACCCTCAAATGAATGTATTTTCCATACCATATGCAAACAAACAAAATATCTGGTATATACTAGTTGCCATGTAACTCAAGAATCAAGCATTTTTCTTAGGAAGGAATAAATGATTAACAATATATATAAGGACTAAGCAGAGTATGGCAGAAGAAATTTCAGAATGAACGACCTATTAGTTTTTGTTATGAACATGAAAATTTCTATGAATGAAACCATCATACATGCACTCAAACTATTTGCTTCAGCTAGAGAGAGATCATCAGAGTGAACTATTTGCCAGAAGAGGGTAGATTCGTTAACCAAAAATGTTAAATCTTCATCACTTCACGAGGCAAGTAATGACAAAGTAAATTCATCAAGATGGCTCATAGAAGATGTAGATCATACCATATCATTGGTGATATTGTTGGAGACGGCTAAGGTCAAATTGGCTGTAAAGTCGCAATGTGTGAGAGTGTAGGCTCTTGGAATGGTTAACAAAGGCTGTTTTTCAATTTCCTCTCCCATGAAAACTACCTTTAGCTTGGAAGCTTCAAATCTTGCCGGATGTCCCAAAAGACTTACAGCCTGATCATAGAAACACATACATTAGTTTCAGGCTCATAATATATGAGAACTGATTATTGTGCATTTTAATCAAGCTGGACTCCATTAGAAGGCTCCACTACTGATTATTGTGCTATCAGTCTACCAGCACGCTCTTATCTGTTTTTCGCTCACCTAACAAAATGAATTAGTTGACATTGATTGTCGGGTTAATTGCAGATAGACCCCCAGTATTATCGCCAGATTAAACTTACTGATGTCGCATTTTTATTGTGTAGATAGACTCCCTGAAAGAGTTCTGCTGTTGTAGGTAGACCTCCTAAGTAAATATATGGTCGCAGGCCTGAAAAGGGTCAAAAAATTCACTCAGGGATCTATGTGCTACAGTAGGAACTGCGATAGTACAGGGGATCTATCCGCAATTAACCTTGATCGTGCTTGTCCTTCACTTTCTATTGCCAAGGTAGCTCTCCAAATTGGTGTCCAATTGTGATGTTCTTTGTCACGACAATGTTGTTAACTTGATGAAAAAGTGGTGATAAAAACTAGACAGCTGATGAAGGATATGATCCTAGACGAAACATGCTAAATGTTTGATGAACTGAATAAATTGGAGGCAAAAAAAGAATTCCTCAACGGAAAAAGTATAATCATCGGGCATGATTTTCTCCCCCCCAAAGTACACACAACAAGTCAATGAAGTCATGATCGATGCACATGACAATATCTGCAAAGTTTTACAGACAAATCCATCCATGCAACAATAGCAACATCACAATCTGATAAACATAAGAAAACTATGGGCATTGTCTACAATCTACAAGAAGTAAAACAAACAAAAGAAGAGAGAGGTGTTTAGTACCTGTAGCACAACAGATCCATAAGAGTCCCTCCTATCACAAGACAATGCAAGGAGAGGCTTGGCGGAGCCCAAACTAGACATAGCTCTTTTTCCTGCAGAATGCGAGCTGGTAGCAGTAAATGAGTTGTTAATGAATGCATTCCTTGTTGAGAAGCAAGCCATGAAAGCATCAAGCAAGAAGATGAAGATGATGGTGAGCTGCTAACAGACAGTACTGTGTCTTTCCCTTCATCTATCTCTCTTGGCCTTCACCATCTCCACGGTCTTCAGCCCAACCCTCCATTGGTTTGATTGAGGAATTCTTTGGTACTGTGATTTGGATTCTTTTGTGAGGTTGGTCTTCTCCCTTCAGCCTTCTTGTGGTCTGGATTCAATCACACTCAAGTAGCCTGCTCATTCACCACGAGAGAGAGAGAGAGAGAGAGAGAGAGAGAGAGAGATGCCCACATTGTGCCACGTGGCCTTATCTCATTGGTGGTGCTTCTGAACGAAGGGATAATGAGATGGCCATGTGGAATGATTAGAACGGCTCTTGGAAGATAAGCTGGGTTTGAAATTAACTTCTCTCTCTTGTAGGAGCATCACCTATGGCAAGCTCAAGATTTGAAAAAGTCGGGAAAAAAAATCTGCTGCACTTTCTTTAAATACTACCGCACACAAGAGAGAACAGGTAATTGTAAGATTATCGGCTATCTTCATCCTCATCCAAGCCTTTCCCCTTCAAAATAAGATCGGCGTTACCGAATAGCCTGATTTATATTAGAAAACTATAGACAAAGAAGCTCACATTTAAGATCATCTGGTATCCTTCAAATTCACGTAGATAAATAACAATTTAAAAAAAAAAGTTACTATAGGGAATTCTACATTTAGCTCCATGACACACATAAAGCCAAGAGCAAAGCAGAAGACATTCCCACCCAGGCATCTGTAAGATAAGTGACATAAATTGACATCAAGTATTGCAATCCCGGTGCCCGAAAGAAAGGAAAATATTTGTACACAGGCATTTCCGCGAGAGAGAACATAATTAAATTATTCATTCAAGGAAGAATAAATTGCATCAGAAAAATTATTCCAATAAATGGGAACTGTTATATTACAACAGGTGGATGAATAAATCCAACTCTTCTCAGGGAAGAAGGAACCAAAACTCCCGATGAACTGGGTGTTAACTTGGTATAAATTACAGTTTCATCTGGGCTAACTGAGGAGCAGAACGAAAAGAGACTGCATCAATATCCCTAGTTGCACAAACCCACTGCCTAAGTGTTTCGATGTCATCGCCCGAAATTGTTGGTATATGCCAGCTGCCTCTTTCAGATTCCTGCGTAAAGTGAGGAAAAGTAACGACTAAAGCAAATGAACAGCCGAAAACAGAAACTGATAAAAGCAACTTATCACGGATTTTAGGAAATGAAAAGAGCAAGTCAAAAGATGAAAAACACTTAAATAATATATATTTTCCACTGCTAAATATAACTGATAGGCCCAAGCTAAACTACAGGTCTTGGAGCAAAATTGCAGTCAAGCAAATACGCAGTCCTTTGTTTGCATTATGAAGAATTTATAATCATTTCGTTTAATCTAAAACCTGTCTACACTAACACAATAGGGAATGCAGGTGCAAATTAGATCCATTACCTGTATAACAATCGAATAGGGAGGTGGCATGTGGAAATTTGGACCTCGTTTAAATGTTAATCTCACCTGCCAATACCAATATGCAAGTTAGAGATGAAGACTATAAATAGCTCCTATGAAACAAGTAGAATGTAACCGGGATTTATACTTCTAATCTGTCACAACTATAATAGGGATGATTTGTAACAAATTATTATCTAATTTACATCCTATGGAAATTCTAAGGAGGTATACACCTTCAAAAGATCTAATTACATGTTCTTAAATAGTAACAAATTCCAACTGGCATGAGAATATATCTAGCATTTTGCAAGAGTCTTCAAAAGAAAATGAAGATGAAACCATTACTGCAGAATAAAACTTTATTAATGATTTGACAATAAACAGTTATGTACCCTCAGATCTAGACAAGTGTGAAAAAACAAAGGTTACCGATGAAATTAGCCTTCAAAACTGCCAGTTGATGTCGAGTTCTTTAATTGAAATTTTGCTGATCCAAACCCCATATGTTATTGGAATTATGTAATTAATTAATCTTCTCAAATAACGTATTGCACGTGTTCATATCCCTTTTTTTCCTTTTTTTTCTCAGAACAGCGTATATTGCCAAATAACATTGGCTACAATCATCGAGCACGCATTTATATCCCTATTTGCAATCGTATGTTATCATTTAGTCATGAAAAGTGGCAAGATTCAGACACCAAGGAGGTCCCGAGAACCAAACCAAAACGCAACAAACAACGCTGACTTAAGTTTGACATTAGATATTAAGTAATTAAACCTGTTGTTTCTCGAAAAGAAAGGCATTTTTAGACACCTAATACGAACCATGAGAATGCCTCCCTACAATCCTGAGTCAAACTGATGTTACTGCCACTTATGATTATGCACAGATTGGAAGTATGAATTGCAGAATATCAAGATACCACATAGAACCATGAGAAATTTAAAATCTGAAATCGTCCGCATGGGCAAAGGATGAACTTATTCAAACTGTATATAATAAATCATGTGGACAATAACAGACCAAAGATAATGACAGCTATACTAGAACACATTTCTCACCGCTACTACGCAAGTTCGGGAACTGACGTTGCTAAACACACAAGGCTAAACACGCAAGGGTAGTGAATCAATTGTGCATGATTCAAACAATTATTTGCAATTTAAAGAGAGGAAAATGCGATGTTGACAAAGCAATTCATTATAATGGACCAGCCCTGGTTATGATGAAGTTAAAACTTCAGGTCAGGGCAGCATGCTTGGAGAAACTTTCTCAACAATTAAAACTGTAAGAATGTCATCAGGAGGTACCAATATCGAATTAAATCTTGTACTGATTCCAAGCAAAAAGAAAGTCGTGTATTAAATATTTTATGAATGATGCAACATGTGAAAATGTTTGCAATTGCAATGATTCATCTTATTAGGAATTTAGGAGTAAAAGAACAAACCTGATGCTTCTCCTTCCATCTTGGAAAGAAACTGGTTCCTAGCAGTTCAAACAAGTGGTCCCTCATCTCATCATTTGTAACAAGCAAAGATCTAGACTTAACAGCCGCATACAACCAGTACCTGCGATAGTAGAAAACCTATTATCAAAGGTTGTTCAAACTCCACAGAAATGACCTAAGCCTGAAACTTTAAGCTCACAAAACGTTGAATGAACATGAACGTAACTATACTCAGTTTAGATCATATTCGTGCTCAAGCTATGCTAACATAGACATGGGTATGGGTGCGGATACGGGTGTGGATGAGTACGGGACAAGGATAATTCATAAAAGGTAGGGTACGGGGACACAACTATATATAACAATCCACAATAGATTAATATTTCTTTTTACACTCACAGTTTATGAGATTTAAAACTCATGCAATATTTTTATGTTTCTTATATGGTTCTTTTACTATGTAGATTAAAAATTAGCAAATTGCTTGTTTTTAACCCTATACCCAAAGACCCTTAAAAAATCATAGTTTTAAACTGATAGGGACTGAAACAAACCCGACAACTGTCCAACGAGTGTCAAGAAGGGCATGTAAAGTGTACAATATACGTTCAAGAAGCATATCACATGTTTTAAAATTAACAAATGCCTTACATAATTAAATACACGTTTGTATAAGTGTATGAGCACGCCCGTGGAGTGTCCAATGAAGTTTTGGTGCCCTATTCGTGTTACGACACAGGTAGGGCTTCATGAAGAAGTACCTACCCTACATAGGTGCTCGACTTCTTGTTAGCTCATATTTGTTCAACTTGACTCAAGGTCTAGCTTGACTTATCAAAAGGTCGATAACTTAATTTAACACAATTCAACTACATTTCAAATATCTTCTAAGTATATTCATTTGGTTTCGTGTCTAGTACAATAAATTATAAATACCCCAAAAACATGAAAAAAAAATCCAGGACATATAACTAGTAACTTGGAACCTATTCTATAATCCCAAGCCTTGGAATGATAGTCTCTTCAGATAAATAAAGAATATAATTTGAAGTAGGTGAGAAATGGAAAAATAACCATGTTATGATTAACAAGTTCATATCTCAAGAGCATAATAAACTGTTGCATTTTGACTGAAATGACTATTATTGTTGTTAGGATGCAATAATTATCCAAAACAAGCACATAATTTAATAATACAATCCAATGCTTTATATGGTAGCAATGTTGCCTAGGTACGGGTACGGGTACGGGTACGGGACACGGCAAATTTGTAAAAAGTAGCGTACGGGGACACGGCTGTATATATATAAAATAATTCACTTTAGATCAGTGTTGAATTGAATACCTATTACATTTGCAAATATACCCCAAAATATGACAAGCTATTTTTATTTTATTTAACATTTCTAAGAAATAGAAAAGTATTTTTATTTTATTTAAAAGTTTAGAACTAATATTATTACTTATATAAACCCAAACCTAAACCCTCCCCATATAAAACCCAAACCCAAACCGCAACCTCCCCCCTTATAAAACCGCAACCTCCCCCTAGGTTTCCCCAGTCTTCGTCGCCTCCAATTTCCGCGAAGCTCGTCTCCGTCGCCTCCAATTTCCGCGAAGCTCGTCTCTGTCGCCTCCTCCGAAGCTCGTCTCCGTCGCCTCCTCCGAAGCTTGTCTCTGTCGAAGCTCGTCTCCGTCAAAGAATGGGTTACGGGCTAGGGTTTTCACAAATCTCCCTCAAAGCTGGTCGTTCACTCCTCGCTCGAAGCTCGTCGCCGACTCATCCCTCGAAGCTCGTCGTCGGCTCCTCCCTCGAAGTTCGTCATCCCTTAAAGCTCGTCGTCCCTTGAAGATCGTCCTCAACGGTCTTCCCTCCAGGTTCGCAACTTTTTTCCCCTCACTCGTGAAATCGCCGTGTCCCTGCCGTTTGGGTGCGGAACCGTACCCAAACCGCACCCGACACGGCTACGGCACCCATTTTGCTGTGTCGGGGTAACATAGTATGGTAGCCAGATTTCTCCTTGAAAATCTTTAACATTTGATGTTTATAAATTATAAAGTTTTCACATACATTCATTTGCAACTAGCTTCCTAGGACAATAAATGGGTTAGAGAACCTTAAGACTCAGTTAGGGTGTGATTGGTAATCTAAGGACCCTGAACTTGAAGAAAGCCTTAAAGTAGTTATCGTGACTGAGCAAACACAAATACAACAGCTTGAAGCTCATTTAATTTGACTCGTTTAGTGATTCCACAAAATCATGTTCATATCTAAGGCACAAAATACATGAAGACAAAACAGAAACATACTACCAAATTAGGGTTGATAAGTTCTTATGAAAAACAGATAAAAAAGACCTCACTCTATGGAGACAAGATGTGCAAAACATGGTTTATTGTGGTGCAAGGAGAAGGGGAATACCTGGGAACATTTTTCATATCTTCCTCCACATATTTACTGACATTCTCTACCTACTAGGCTTCTATTAGGGATGCACATCCTTAGTGTGCAAGCTATGTCTTATCACTCAATGAACCAGAAATCTTATTAACTAAACAGTGCGAGAAACACCTTCCTGTTAACAAAAGCTAGAGTGGCTGCAAGTAGATGTTACACGGGTGCGGGTGCGAGTGCATATAGGGGTACATGATACAGAAAATTTGTAAATGGCAGAATACGAAGACACGACCATATATACATATTGAAATTAATAATGTACATGAGATCAATTTTGGTTTTCATTCACATGTTATGAAAACTATAAATCTTATAACATTTTTATTTTTTATTTATTAAATAGATTAAAGATAGAAAAAGTAACCATTTATGAATTAAATATACAGATGACTCTTTAAAATCATACTTCTAGATTGGGTATTGGTCGAAACAAGCTTTACATGTCTTCAACAAGTGCAGGAAGTGGACAGTAAGTGTAATGGTCTAAGAACTGAATGGCGAGTATTAAATAATTTATTACATGTCTGAATAAAATCATACGTAAGCATATTCAAGAAGTGCCCAAGGATTGTCGAAGTCCAACACATATACAGAAACCCAGATGAGGTGCCAAGATAACTTAGCTCCAGGCATCTTACATTTCATCATGAAGCATTTATTATAAATGACACATCTTCTCAAACATAGTTTAGTCAGGCATAAGTAAAGATGCACTAACCAGTCATCATTTGATCCATACGGAGTAGCATAAAGTGCACCAGCCCTCCGCCAACCTTCCAGCAGCTTCTTATTGCTTGGATTATCAGCAAGCCCTCCTTTTACCCTCCGGCTATGTAACACAATAAGTGGCAGTTTTTTTGTTGGACTTAGTTGGCGTAATCCATTTACAACAGAATTTAGCTGCCATACATGTAAAAAAAACGTGTCTACTTTAACTAGAATTCATGGGACATTACATCTGCCACAATAAGAACCACATCGTGAATCATAATGTATACGCAGATGTTTACCTGGATAAAGCTGAAGTTTTTTTGATTATACAGCCCTATGTTCGCCCCATCAACAACAGCATCAAATGGCCCGTGATGCTCAAGCCACTCCTGAAATTAGTATTATATGTCACCAAAAACTTCTTTCCAGAAACAAAAAACATTAAAAAAAAAACAGAATATTCTTTGAAAACGGAATTAGATTAACAGTAAAAAAAGCATGGACACATCTTTCCATGCAATTCATTCATTTGTCATATTAAAATGCATGACATGTCGAAAATTGAGAATTCATAAATGACTAGAGTTGATTATAAGAAGTACAGCAGGTCACGAGGCTTGAGATGTGTGCTAAGTGGCGTATTTCTTTGAATATAACTATATTCTTATGTTTTCGTGTGTTGATTTGTTGTTTTTTTTTTTTTTTTTTGGGGGGGGGGGGGGTGGGGGGAGTTACTGTAGCTAAGAGAAGGTACATCCACACAGGGCTGACAGTTCATTAAATCTCAACCAAAATCCCTCCAATTTTGAAGGGTTTGGTATTGAGGAGAGAAATCGGCTTTTTGGGTGGCTGATCAACCCCGTTTATCTTCTCAACCAAACAATGCAAAGTATAGAAAGTTGATGTGGACTCAACAATTCCAACATGTTCCAACTTTTCCCCTCAAATTAGAAGCGATTAAACAAGGCCTTAACAAAAGGAAATTATAAAAGAAGATAAAGATAATATACCTTCCTAAGACAAGTCTTTGCATGAGGTACATACCAATCCCCCCAATGAAAGTTTTACCAAGGACAAATACAACCAGTAACTAAGGCTACCAATTGTCTCAGGTACAACCATAACCCAAACTAGCCATCCCGCTCACTTAGCGGGGTTGGGTTGGACACAGAACCTCAAGCCGCCCTATTTGCAGCCCATCTATAATCCATCCAAAACCTCAAATCGCTGCATGTAAATGGAATAATACTATGTGCACTATGTATTTAAAATGATACTGCATCAGAAACATGTAGGTTTTGATGGCTATAATAGAAAGTGATCACTCATGAACTGCGCAACCAATGTAGAGCATGTTTGGCTACTACTTACTTTTTGAAACCTTATAAGTTACTTATTATTTATTTTTAAAACTCCTTATAAGGAGGTTTAAAAAAGCAAAGTATTTGGTAAAATCTTTAACTTAAATAATATAATATAATTATTAATTAATTAATTAAATTACTATTTCATAAATAAGTAATTAAATAAATAATGACACTATTTAATTAATTAATTTCTTATTAATTAAATAATAAGTTAATAAAACTATTGATTAATTAATTAAATTTATTATTTAACAATTACTTAATAGTGGCACTACTTAATAAATTCTTATTTTTGAGATCTGCTGTAGATTGATAAAGGGGGATCGAGGTTATTTTGGTCTTTTGGCCAAAAATAAAAAAACTCCTTATAAGTAGGTAAAAAATAAGTTGGGTATAAGTAAGAAATAAGTGAAAAAAGTTAACTCTCACCAAATATAAGATCGGTACCTTATATAAGGAAAAAAGTACTTATAAGTAGAATAAGTTATTTATAAGTAAATTGCCAAACATGCTCGTAGTATCCCTTGCTAAAAATATAGATTATCCAGTACATGTACATTGACTATATGTCACATCCTTCTGCATGGCACTAAGGACCAGAATGGGCTAATAAATGTTAGCCAGTGGAAATTTTTGAATAAAACCCTTCTAAATGCTTCAAAGTGTGGAGGACAAAAGCACACTCCTATGCTCTAAGTAAACAAGTCTTCAAAAACTGCAACTAAACAAATCTACCATAAGAAACAAACAGAAAAATAAGGAAATCATTTATCATATTGTCAATCCAGGGGTTGACAATATCCTTCAAATGGCACTGATTAGTGTCATCTCCTTCAGCATCAACACCAAGGACCAGAAGCATCAACACCAAGGACCAGAATGAGCTAATAAAGGTTAGGCTGCTGTAATTATGAAATAAATGTATTCAATGGTTCGCAAGTGTTCAAGATAACCAATGCAGAGCAAGAGCCAATATGTCAGAGATTTAGGAACAAAAGCACTCAGATTGTCTAAGCAAAAAGTATAAATTCATTCAAGATGTTTCAAAAAATTTAAGGTATCTAATGCAGAGCCAGAGCCGATATGTTAAAGATTTAAGAACAAAAGCACTTCAATTCTCTGAGAAAACAAGTTTTAAATCCATTCAAGATGTTTCACAAGTGTTTAAGATAACCAATGCAGACCCAGGCTCAGTATGTAAAAGATTTAGGGACGAAAGCACTTCCTATCTCTAAGCAAACAAGTATTTAAAATTACAAACACAAACATAAGCAACTCATGCAAACAAACCTGAAATCCAGTGAAGTCAGCCTTCGCCTCCCTCTCACAAGCCAAATTCGCCAACTTTCTCCCAAACTCCTCGGTCTCCACCGGATCGATATCAATACATACCAATCTCTCCCCGCACCGCCGGCAAACCCCATCCCCGTTCATTCTACGCTTCCTCCCACGCTCCACCTCCCCTTCCCCACCACCAATCCCATGCCACCCTCCCCTCCCTTGACCGCCCCCTCCTTCAACTTCCCCTTCATCCCACTTCTCCTTATTCCGCCCCCTCCGCGCGTCTCGACATAAACCACTCCTCCACCGCCTCCACCGTCTCCTCCCCAACTCTCCTGACCAAAGTTCCGCAACCTATGCAAGATCTATACACCTCATCTCCCCTCTTCGTCCCAGCACTAACTTCCAGCAATCCCCTAAGCCTCATCCTCCTCCGGCAAAACCCATTCTCATCATATGCCAACTCAACTCCGCGCACTCTCAAAATCCCAATTTCACAAAAGCCAAGCAACGCCGGCCCGTAAGACCTTCAGCTTCGGCGGGATCGCCGCCGCCATCATCTGCTTAACAAACTCAAAAGCCCTCCCCGGGTTCTTATCATTGGCCGCCAATCGGCGGCGAGCGAAGTGAAAGTGGCCTTCATTGCGGCTCAATTCTTGTCAAGCCAACAACTGATCGTAGATTTCGTAGCCTCGAGAGGATTTGGGGAGGGGGAGAGGGAGCAGAGGTAGAGGAGGGAGTTGTATATGGGGAGGAAGAGGGGATGGAGTCTCTTCGGGCAGGGTGTCGAAGAGGCGGAGGGCCTCGGCGAGGTCCTTGGTTGCGGCTGCAGATGCCGATTTTGTGGCGGAGGACGGCGTCGGGGTCGTCTGGCGGCGGGATTTCTTGGAAGGAGCGGGAGCTAGGGTTAGGTTAGGCTTTGATGTGGTCATGCGGGCGGCGGCGGTGGTGTTGGACGGCCGGGTTTTAGAGAGGATTTGAAGAGGGAAGGAGAGGGACGAAGCATGGCCGGCGGCGGTTGTGGCGGTGGTGGAGGTTGAGGAAGAAGGGATTTAGGGTTTTGGGGGAGGAGAGAAGAGAACGGCGGATGAGAGAGCAAGGGAGAGAGCCCGCCTAATGCGGCATTCGTCCTGGTCCAGCTCGTCGTCAGGGGCTGTTGAAGACCTTCAGCTTCGGCGGGATCGCCGCCGCCATCATCTGCTTAACAAACTCAAAAGCCCTCCCCGGGTTCTTATCATTGGCCGCCAATCGGCGGCGAGCGAAGTGAAAGTGGCCTTCATTGCGGCTCAATTCTTGTCAAGCCAACAACTGATCGTAGATTTCGTAGCCTCGAGAGGATTTGGGGAGGGGGAGAGGGAGCAGAGGTAGAGGAGGGAGTTGTATATGGGGAGGAAGAGGGGATGGAGTCTCTTCGGGCAGGGTGTCGAAGAGGCGGAGGGCCTCGGCGAGGTCCTTGGTTGCGGCTGCAGATGCCGATTTTGTGGCGGAGGACGGCGTCGGGGTCGTCTGGCGGCGGGATTTCTTGGAAGGAGCGGGAGCTAGGGTTAGGTTAGGCTTTGATGTGGTCATGCGGGCGGCGGCGGTGGTGTTGGACGGCCGGGTTTTAGAGAGGATTTGAAGAGGGAAGGAGAGGGACGAAGCATGGCCGGCGGCGGTTGTGGCGGTGGTGGAGGTTGAGGAAGAAGGGATTTAGGGTTTTGGGGGAGGAGAGAAGAGAACGGCGGATGAGAGAGCAAGGGAGAGAGCCCGCCTAATGCGGCATTCGTCCTGGTCCAGCTCGTCGTCAGGGGCTTGGGCTTGGGTCTGCCGGTTTGGGCGTGGGTCTTTTTTGATGGATTTTTATATGTTTTCGGATTGGGTTCCTGATCCTGACCCAAATCTATCGTGTCGTCTACAAAGACATCATTTCCACCTTGGCGCTCCGAAGCCGACTCATCTCATCAAAAAAACCCTGAACGTTGTGGGTTATTGCACATAACCCCCCTGAAGTTTGCGTATCTCACTTAACCCCCTTAAACTACAAGGTGTCTCGCAAAACCTCCTAACTTTATCTTATCTCACGTAGACACCCCCCCCTGAAGAGCACGTGAACAGGTCCCACGTGAGTGCATGAGTGCTTGAGGTTTTTTTCGTTTTGTTTACTGGACAATAACCGACCCACCCGTTTGTCCTTTGTGCATATATATAGACCTGGTTAATGACCTAGGTTTGTGAGCGAAGGAGGTGTGCAACGATTTGATTTCTTTGCGGCTGTGGGTGCTTTTGTGCGGCTGGAGAAAAAGCAGAGCAAGGCTTGGTTTATTTTCGGCTGGAAAAAGCAATTGGAGCACAGAGCTTTTGTTTGTTGCTTTTGAGAGAGTTTTGTATGAGGGATTTGAGAGTTTGTGTGAGGGTTTTATTTGTGAGATTCTTTTGTAAACCCTAGTTGTAATCTCTCCCTCTATTAGTAGATCTCCCCCCTCCTTGCCCCATGGACGTAGGCAATTTGCCGAACCACGTAAAAATTGGTTGTACTGCTTTTGTGTGATTTGTAATAGCTTTTAGGATCCCTCGATAGGTCAGTCCTAGAACTGATGAGAGGAAGAGCCGATATCTCACTTGGTTGAGATATCCGTTTCAGATTCTTGTCTCCTTGGTGAGACGAGAATTCTTATTGCGATCTGACTCTCTTGTTGTACTGCCGAAGTGCTGCCGAAATTTCCGCTGCTCAGAGCCCAGATTTTAGATCTAGGGTTTTGGAGTTTGGTGGAGGAAGATTTTTTGTGTGAAGCTTGGTTCTTGGAGTTCTCGGCTTCGGTGGAGATAGCATTAGGAGTTGCCGTTGGAGATTTCGCTTTCCTCGTGTGGATAGGAGATCTATTTGGAATCCGATCTAGGGTTCAGTTGGGTGGTTCCTAATTCTATCAAATTTGTTCTTTCTCTACAATTTGGAGTTAGTTTGCAATGGGAGAAGAAGGTGAAAGCAGCAAATCGATGGCGGGTACAATACAAGTTGGTTTTCAGAACACTAAAATTAGTGTGGTAAAGTATGACGGCAAAATCAACTTTGGTTTGTGGATGAGCGACGTACAGGATGCGCTCAATGCTCAGAATTTGGAAGAGACCATTATGGTCCACGAGAGGCCACCTAAATATGAAGAGGCGGTATGGGATAAGATGAATAGGAACGCTTGTGGGGTGATTAGGTCCTGTTTGAAATAGGAGCTAAAATATGATGTGATTGGGGTAACGTCTGCGATGAAGATGTGGGAAATTCTCAACAATAAGTACCTTACGAAGAGTGTTGAGAACCGGTTGCACTTGCTGCGTAGGTTATTCAGATTCCATATGTCCAGAGGCACCTCGCTAGCGGCTCATGTGAACAACTACACTAAGTTGTTGTCGGACTTGGCGAATGTTGATGAGAAGATATCGGATGAGTACAATGCGATTATTTTGTTGGGCTCCTTACCGGATGAGGAGTATGATACCTTCGTGCTCACTTTGTTGAACGGGAGATCTTCTATCAGCTATAGTGAAGTGACTAACGCTTTGACAAATTACGATTTGAGGAGGAAGGACAAGGAGACTTCCCGTGCTAGCACTTCAGGCGAGACCTTGTCGACGAGAGGTAGAAGCCCATATCCGAAAGGTGGTAATAGATGAAGGTCAAAGTCTAGAGGCCGTCACCAATTAGCAAAGAACCAATATGCATTCTGCAAGGAGCAGGGACATTGGAAGAGAGACTATCCGAAGCTCAAGGAGAAAGAGAATGGCAAAAAAAAGGGTCCGAAGGCCAATGAGGTGAATATTACGAAAGGCGATGATTCCGATGATTCGTGCTTTTTTCTATTGATTACTCCGGAGGTGAACCATGTGGATGCATCAGATTGGATGCTTGATTCCGGCGCTACTTTTCATGTGACCCCTAGGCGAGACTGGTTTGCATCTTTTGAGAAAGTCGACGGGGGCGTTGTTGTTATGGGAAATGATCAATCCTGTGGCGTGAGAAAGTCGACGGGGGCGTTGTTGTCATGGGAAATGATCAATCCTGTGGCGTTTGTGGGATAGGTACCGTACGGATTAGGATGCACGATGGAGTAGTCCGTGAGTTGAAGGAGGTGAGATTTGTTCCTCAACTGAAGAAAAATCTTATCTCAGTTGGAGCTTTGGAGGCGAAGGGATTCAAGGTGACTTTCGAAAACGCTGTAGCGAAGGTTACTAAGGGATCATTGGTGGTGATGAGGGGAGTCCGCAATCGGAATTTGTATTATCTGAAGGGAAGCACCGAGATTGGCCAGGTTGCTTCGGCTATTTCAGAAGCGGACATGAGCAGACTTTGGCACTATAGATTGGGGCACACAGGTGAAAAGTCACTGCAGGCATTGTGCAAGCAGGGGCTATTGAAGGGAGCCAAGAGTGGGAAGATTGAGTTCTGTGAGCACTGTGTTCTTGGCAAGAAGACGAAGGTGAAGTTCGGGACTGCCATTCATCAGACGAGGGGCATCCTGGACTACGTGCACACAGACGTTTGGGGTCCCACCAAGACTGCATCACTTGGTGGTAGACATTGGTTCGTCACTTTTGTAGATGACTATTCTAGGCGTTGTTGGGTGTACACCATGACGAAGAAGAGTGAAGTCCTAGATTTGTTTGTGGAGTGGAAGAAGAGATTGGAACTGCAGACTGGGAGAAAGATCAAGACGTTGCGATCCGACAACGGTGGTGAGTATACTTCTGACCCCTTTCAGCAGCTATGTCGAGACGAGGGCATAGAGAGACACTTCACAGTTAGTCATACACCGCAGCAAAATGGGGTGGCAGAGAGGTTGAATCGGTCTTTACTGGAGAAGATCCGATGCTTATTGTCGCAGAGTGGTTTGGAGAAGATCTTTTGGGCTGAGGCACTTACATATGCGAGCCACCTCATTAATAGGCTGCTTTCATCTGCGATTGAGGGGAAAACCCCTATGGAGATGTGGTCGGGAAAGCCAGCACACGATTATGACCAGCTCAAGGTATTTGGGTGCCCTGCATATTATCATGTTAGAACTGATAAATTGGAACCTCGGGCTAGGAAGGCCATATTTTTAGGATTCAAGCGTGGTGTCAAGGGATACAAGCTTTGGGATCCAGTGGATAAGAAGATTGTGCTGAGTAGGGACGTCACGTTTGATGAAGCTTCTATCTTGAAGCTTTCCAGCTCTCATCAGGTGGAGAGCGATCCGACGGAGGAGATATCGCAGGTGGTGGAGATCGATGCGGCTCCACATTGTCCAGATGGTACAGTATCCATGCAGGTACTGACTGAGGTGACGCCAGGCGAGCACGACAATGATACGGAGGATACGAGTACAAATGTGCAGGATCAGGAACCGACGACTCAGGTTCAGGATTCTATTGCGGCTAGGAGACAGAGGAGAAACATACAGATGCCAGCACGGTATGCCGACACAGTTGCGTATGCACTTCCGGTGGAGAGTATCAATGAGTTAGTGCCTACTACATTCAGAAAGGCCGAGCAGAGTTCGGAGGCTGATTCGTGGCAGGTGGCTATGCAGGAGGAGATGGAATCTCTTCATAAGAACGATACATGGGAGCTTGTTGAGCTTCCAAAGGGGCGGAAGGCAATTGGTTGCAAGTGGGTATACACGAAGAAGGAGGGCATTGAAGGCACTCCGTTGAGATTCAAGGCTAGGTTGGTTGCGAAGGGCTATGCACAGGAGGAAGGTATTGACTATAATGAGGTTTTCTCTCCGGTGGTGAAGCATTCTTCGATTCGGATTTTGCTAGCTTTGGTGGCACAGTATGGTTTGGAATTAGATCAGTTGGATGTGAAAACGGCATTTCTTCATGGTGATCTTGATGAAGAAATATATATGACTCAGCCATTGGGATTCCGAGCTGCAGGGAAAGAAAAATTAGTTTGCAAACTGAAGAAATCGCTATACGGTTTGAAGCAGTCTCCTCGACAGTGGTATAGGCGATTCGATGGTTTTATGCTTGGTCATTCGTACACTCGGAGCCAGTTTGATCCTTGCGTATATTTTCGCAAGTTGAAAGGAGGTGCGTACATCTATTTGTTACTTTATGTCGATGACATGTTGGTTGCCTCTACTTCCAGGTCAGCTATAGATGAGTTGAAAGTTCAGCTTTCGAATGAGTTTGAGATGAAGGACTTGGGCGAGGCAAAGCACATTTTAGGGATGGAGATCGGCAGAGACAAGAAGAAGGGCAGAATTTGTTTGACACAGGTGGCTTATTTGAAGAAGGTTCTACAGCGATTCCATGTTAGCATGGATACGAAGCCAGTTAGTGTACCATTGGGAGCCCATTTGAAGCTTTCAGCTGGTCTTTCACCGAAGTCAGTTGAAGATCGTGAGTTGATGTCGAAGACTCCATATGCGAGCGCGGTTGGGAGCTTGATGTACGCGATGGTATGTACGAGGCCAGATTTGTCACAGGCGGTAAGCATGGTATCGAGATACATTGGCTTTGTCTACGACGGAGGCAGAGTATATGGCAGTTACGGAGGCTGTAAAGGAGGCTATTTGGCTTCGAGGACTTTTGGAGGAACTTGGTATATCGCAGAGGTCCGTCACTATTTATTGTGATAGCATGAGTGCTATCTATTTGGCGAAGAATCAGATTTTTCATGCGCAAACGAAGCACATTGACGTTCGTTATCACTTCGTTCGGGATGTTCTTGAAGATGGCGATGTGGAAATTATGAAAGTCCATACGAAGGATAATCCGGCGGATATGCTCACTAAGGTGGTTCCGAGCAACAAGTTTGATCATTGTCGAAACTTGTTGCATATTCGTGATTGTTGAGGCCGTTAGCGGCCATTTGGGTGAACTACGTTCGGCTTGATTCCTTGGGCAAGAGGATACGTAGGCAGTCTTTCAGATACAGCCGATTTGGATTAGTTGATTTTGATGGGGGTGAGATTGTTTGAGCTCTCGTTCGGGTTCCCGACTTGTTGTCGAATGAGTGGGACATTTGGTTGCTTTGGTGTCGGCTCAGTTTTGGGAAATCTTCACCGAGGTGGAGAATTGTGAAGAGCACGTGAACATGTCCCACGTGAGTGCATGAGTGCTTGAGGTTTTTTTGTTTTGTTTACTAGACAATAACCGGCCCACCCGTTTGTCCCTTGTGCATATATATAGACCTGGTTAATGACCTAGGTTTGTGAGCGAAGGAGGTGTGCAACGATTTGATTTCTTTGCGGCTGTGGGTGCTTTTGTGCGGCTGGAGAAAAAGCAGAGCAAGGCTTGGTTTATTTTCGGCTGGAAAAAGCAATTGGAGCACAGAGCTTTTGTTTGTTGCTTTTGAGAGAGTTTTGTATGAGGGATTTGAGAGTTTGTGTGAGGGTTTTATTTGTGAGATTCTTTTGTAAACCCTAGTTGTAATCTCTCCCTCTATTAGTAGATCCCCCCCCCTCCTTGCCCCGTGGACGTAGGCAATTTGCCGAACCACGTAAAAATTGGTTGTACTGCTTTTGTGTGGTTTGTAATAGCTTTTAGGATCCCTCGATAGGTCAGTCCTAGAACTGATGAGAGGAAGAGCCGATATCTCACTTGGTTGAGATATCCGCTTCAGATTCTTGTCTCCTTGGTGAGACGAGAATTCTTATTGCGATCTGACTCTCTTGTTGTGCTGCCGAAGTGCTGCCGAAATTTCCGCTGCGCGCAACACCCCCCTCACGTAATTTGCCAATAACTAAAATGTTTTAGAGTGGAAAAAAATCTCAATCTTTGTCACTTGTCATTTACACGTAACATACTCCCTCCCCCAAAATTTTGAGTTTTTTCTTTCAAGTAAATTTTAGTTATTTGTAAAATTATAAACAATGGGGCTCTGTGAGATAAGGTAAAGTTTGGGGGATGTGGGGTGCTTTGTGAGGCACCCCATAGTTTAGGGGGTTAGTGGGATAAACAAAGTTTAGGGCCTTATGTGTGATTCCCCCCCAAAGTTTAGGAGGGTCTTGTGAATTAACCCTATATTTTTTTTAACACATAATGCTCCAAAGTTTCAAACCCATTATACTTTGACACCCGACATTAGTTATTTAACACTGTGACACCTCAAAGTTTTAATCATACTTCACTCTGATACCCCCATTAAGATCAGTTAGCTTTCCTTTCAAATTTATTTAACTCCCTTAGAATGCGGGTAGAATTTAATAGAAAATCTAAGGACCTAAACAGGTTAAGCAAAATGGGATTAAACTTCATTGTATGCAAGTGTTAACAAACACTTTATGAAAGTGAAATGAGATTGAAAACTCTTGAGCTTAATGTCTACTTAGTTCAATAGTATTCGAAGGAAAACTATCCAACATTTATATTATAAAATAGTTTTTTTCTTTTCTTTCTAAAAACCACCTTAAAATTGGGTAATTATACGAAAACAAACTTTAATTTTCAATTTATATATAAACAAGCTTTAAAATTGATTTTTGTTGCTATCAATCACCTCCAAGTCAAACTTTTCTCTAAAAATCCAAAATTATCATTAAAAAAACTCATATATAAGACACGTTGTTTTAGTGTTTAGATCTTGATAGGATACTAGACTTTTCTCTAAAAATCCAAAATTATCATTAAAAAAACTCATATATAAGACACGTTGTTTTAGTGTTTAGATCTTGATAGGATACTAGTCTTTAAGCTTATTTTTTATCTTTATTTTTAGTGAAATTTTGATTGGAAAGAAGTTGATTGAAATAAAACCAAACTTTAAAGGTGATTTGTGTATAAATTGTAAATAAAATGTAATTTTCGTATAACCTAAAAGGAAGTTGATTGAAATAAAACCAAACTTTAAAGGTGATTTGTGTATAAATTGTAAATAAAATGTAATTTTCCTATAACCTAAAAGCTCTTGGGCTGCAAAAGAGGCTTTCTCTTCTCTCAAGATAGTATTTAGGAGAATGGCAAAAATCATAACCATCGGTTCAAAAAATAGTTAACCTTACATCTCTAACAACATAACAACTTTCCATTGGTTCGAGAATCTATATAATTCTACAAATTGAACTTGTCTGTAGTAAAACCGGTTGCCTCCTCCTACCCCATTTGGAGCAAAAAGGCATCAAAGTCATACACCCATTGGTATAATCATACAACAAATTGTCGAAAAGAATGAACCAAACAATCATGAAAGGATTTACTTGCTTCCTTCGATTTCTTGAGGCCGCCACATTTTCTTCTCAATGCAAAGCAACCCCTCGTTATCCTTGGCATAGGTCATTCGAATCTCCCAGTGCAAAGATTTTGCCATGTTCTCAACATCGTTTATGGTTTCTACGTCATCTCTTATAATTAGCTTCCCTTCCGGTCTCAATACTCTATCGACCTCAGCAATTACGGATAGTAGTTTGCACCTGAAGAAAACGAAATTACAGTAATATATTTAGAGAAAAAAACTTAAGACATAAGTAATTGATGTAGACAGTGAGTCTACATAAGCAGTCATATTCAGAAACCCCCTGTATCATCGTTGTTTCAAACTTACTGCCTCTCTAATTTCATTTTTGCAGAGAGACCTCCTGAGTGTATTTTTTGACTCTTACCTTCAGGGGTGTCTATTTGTCAAAAACACAAATTCGTCTTTCTTTGAGGGTAAATGAGTCAAAAAGTTCACTCAGGGGATCTACCTGTACAAGTAAACTAGAGGGCTAGTAGCTTCAAAACAGTGATACAACAGGGGTCTATCCACAATTAACCCAAGTGATACTACAGGGGTCTATCCGCAATTAACCCAAAGAAAACTGTGTGCTGATAGGGAAATAGGTTATTTTCCACTTAGAGACAGAGGAGGCCTTATAGACAACAGCAGTGGCAACAGCAATAATAGTCTACAGAGAAAAGATGTTTGCCTGACTATCGGTGAGCACTAGCACAAGCATGGCAAAAGGAACTGAAGAAAGTAAAACCTGCATGCTACTTGTTTCTTTTTCTCCCATCTTAAAAAGAAAATTCACACTTTGTATTTAAATTACTAAAGAGCCTCTTTATCCCTCATCCGCAAGATTTGCTGAACCTTGAAAAATTAGCTTCTCGAAAAACAAACTTGAATGTCAACATTTTTCCATATTGGAACAATCATGGATTTTTTAGCTTGGGAAAACTATTATCAGGGAATGGAACTTGATCAAACAAGGACCAAATTGTAATTATGCGACATCATAAATCTTACCTTGTTTTGAGCTTGGAAAATAAATGGTCAGCATGGAGAAGGTCATATGTTCTCGGGTATGTGCTGAATGATTCACACCAATCATGATATATGCCAAACAAACCCCGCTCAAAAATAACAGGAAGGGTATCAGGGGCATCAATTGAAACAACATTCATAACCCACACTTGCATGTCCCTCAAAGCTGCAGCAAAACTGCAAAACAGACAAAAACTTATATTCAGTGATCAGCCATGATTTGTGAAGTATATATATCTAATGAATCAATGAACATCCTACTTAATATTAACTGTTTAAATGTCAGCAGTAATGAGTAGGCAACTACCCCTGGAATAGGTAAGCCTTGATCAAACAAACATCCAAGTTTGATGACAATAAAAGAATGGTAATGGGATATAAATGGATAATATTGATCAGAAAAATCTCAAACCGTGATGCCTAACATGATTAGTCAAGATAATTAAACTAAGAAAACATGTTTAGTCATAATGAATTCAGCGCAACATGCTATAAATTTCCTCTTTGTGTCCCTTGTGTGTTATGGTTACAAATTACATGGCAATTGCATGAAAGAATGGTAACCAAAATTGAGAAAAGCTGTGTTATTATTCTATGGGATTTGTACAAAGTATACTATAGAACAACCTAAAAGCATCATAAATCATAACCAAAATTTTCTTCAACGTTGACAAAAGTATATAATATGTTTGCTTACCCTCCATAAATGGCTCTCATGTCCATGACATTTCTCACAGTAGACCAATCGATTCCCATTCCATTCAGATACGATTTGCTCACAACATGTTTCCAGTGTTCATAATCTGCTTCAAAGTCTTCAATGGCAGGTTTACCATAAACCCCTGTCTGAGAAGTGCTTAGCCAATAAGGTGCCTTTCCCAGCCTTTCCGGCCATTGCTCTGGCCATTGAGACCCACGAACAGAAGGATCTTCAGGCACTTTGTGAATGCATGCTTGAAGGGAAACATTCCTAATCAAAAAGGAAAACAATATGAAACAATAATTTACTGCAGAATTGTTGAAATAAAAGTAGAATTAAGGCTACTTGTTGACAGGAAAATATACCAGGCAGCACTGGGATCATCAGATTCTTGGCAAAGTGGAGGACTGTTTTTCGATCTTGCTTCATAGCATTTGTTGTCTGTAGGTTTTCTGTAGATTGCTAGACCCACTTGGTTCAGGGAATCCTTTGTTTTCTTCACCATTTCCCAACACATTTGTTTTGTCAGCGCTGTCATTGCTGGCATCCATTTCCAAACAAATAGAAGTTAAAACTTTGACTAAAATGCTTTTTGAACGAGTGCTTTTACTGAAGTCGAGCATATAAGCTCAGTACCATTCTGATAAAGTCTAGAATGCTCGGAACTGCATTTAAATAGCTCTAGACACCAGATCTAGATGGATTAGCTAAGCAAGTGCTTAGAGGTCGCTTAATGAACATATGTTCTAAGATTAACGATAACTAAGTCATCATATACTAGAGACGTAGAGGGATTGTGCAATAAGAACTTTGAGATATGGCTGCTGCAGCGAGGCAATGGTTCTGTGCTAAATTCAAAGAAAGGGATAAAATTATTGAAAATAAGAAATTACTATTTTAAACTATCATTAATTAATTCAAGTAACCCATGAAGGCAACAAAGAGAGAATTTGTGTCCAGGTGTCAAAACTTGTTGCTAACTTGAATAAGAACATAGGAAGAGCTTTAAAGTGTTTGTTAGTATGACTTCTAAACTAATTCTCCATGGAGCAGTGCATTAGTCAGGTTACTCAAAGTAAAGGATCCCACCTCAGAAGAAAAGCAAAATAGGTGCTTTTGCAAGATGATTGCAACTCCATTATGCAGTAAATATATGTCATTCTGAAGGCTGGTCGTACATCACATACAAGACCACTCTACTTCTAGTCTTTTCATTTGAGGTTAGATGTCTTATATTGAAATGTCTGATTTTCATAATAATTCTTAGAAGATACCTTGGAAGTGAGCTTTGTTTAATCTTTGATTTTGATAGTAAATCGTGTGAATGAAAAATATGGCTTGAGTTCTCAGTTTTATTATCTTGCTTTGTCATCATTTCCTCTATATATGTTATCTCTATACAGGTTATTTCAACAGATGAACAAAGTTAGTGTATGCATCTATCTAAAGGTTAAACATACATACAACATTAAGCATGGTAGTCTTACCTTTCCATATCTCGACATTTTCTTGATCACTCCTATAAACTGGTGTTGCAGACCACACAAAATAACCACCAGGACGTAATAACCGGTTAAGCTCCAACAAAAGCATACCACCTGCAAGTTAACATCTCAGCACACAATGTCTAAAAGAAGAAACAAATCCTGTTCCTAGCACAAAGTACCTTCTATGTGCCATGGGACTCTACAGCGGGCACAATGAATAACATCGTAGACCCTCCCAGGGAAAGGAAGCCTTTTGGTTCCCATGACTGCTGATATAGCTGGAATTCCTCTTTCAAGAGCAAACTGTACTTGAGCTTCATGCTCATCTTTAGGAGCAAATGACATGGTTAACACATCCCTATCAAAGAGATACCCACCAAAACTAGCAACTCCACAGCCAACATCCAAGACAACTCGGGTTCGTTTTCCCCATGCTATATCAGGGAATGACTGCAAAAATAAGATAATCATCAGCAACATAAACACTTTATGCAGAATTGTGCTAACTATCCTAGATAAATACACAAGAACAGTAAACATCCGTAAAAGGATAATTTCACAGACCTCTTGAATTTTATCAATGTAGTGGAGTGCACCATTGATGAATTGAGTTCCACCTCCAGGAAATGTTAGATACTCTCCAGTAACTTTCACCCAATTCTGGTGCCCCTTTACCTCAGCGAGCTTGGTATGCGGCACATTATGGTACCAGATCTGCATTAAATATGTCATCAACACAAGCGGAAAATTTAGAGCTCAGAAGAACAATCTTAGATCATCCCGCAGACACACAAAGTTCTAACTATGTTACCTTGTCCCTGCTATTGGGCCACTGAATTGGCTTTTTATATCCCTCCGGAAGCGGTACAAGGCATGTGGGTCCCTCTTCAGGGCAATGTCTTTCTCGGTGTTCATAATGCCCAGTAAGATGAAGTTTTTTAATAGCTTCTACATTGTCAAGACAAGGAATATAATCTGCTCCAGCTTCTGTGTTACAAAGTTTCCAATTGTATTCAGCATTTTGAACTTTTGATGAAGACTGCTGAACTTCATTCTCGTTTTTTGACTCAGCAGCTTGAGTTTTCCATGCTCCATTTGAGGTATCGGTCTCTTTCAAGATTTCTGACTGGGCACCGTCAGGAAATACCTCTTCCTTTGCTTGATTCCCAGTTTGGTTCTCTTCCGACTTCTGTTCCTCCCCCTTGTCTTGATTCTCATCTGTCTTCACTGATTCTTCACCATTCACATTTCCTTCAGAATTCTGTTCTGAATTATTGTCTGGTCCATTCGTCTCACCGCTCTCTGTGTTTGTGTCTCCACCTTCATTATTACTCGTCTGCGATTCATCTGAATCATTTTTGTTATCGTTAGAGTCTGTAGCAGGACTCTCCTCTTGGGTCGTCTCTTCAGACTTTTCAGTCTCTTCAGAATTGCTATTGCTATCTCCTGATGTATTATCAACAGTAGTATCTCCAGAATCCTCAGATGTCCTAGAAAAATCAACAGTAACTTGTTCGGTTGTTTCCGACTTATTATCTTCTGACGGAGTTATATCTACAGGAGCTACGGTAGATGACGTCATCATCCATACTCCCACTAAGCAGAGAGCGACAAGTACGACAATGGTCGTCGTCGAGCAGTAGGATGACGACTTCTTGTCCATCCTCGGGCCTTTGCTAAATGGCATCTCTCATGTACACAAAAAAACTCCACTAGTACCTTTAAAAATAGAAACAGATAGTTTACTCCCGGGTACTCTTCTCCCTTGAAGACAACACTTCCTAGATCTATGTACCTTATATCTGCAATCTAATTGAACTATGAAAGGATGTAGATGCACCAAAAGAAATTTGAGCCTAGATTACCAAATATTCTCCCTAACTTCAACTAGTGTGCTATCTCCATCGCTACTAAATTGTCACTCAGACCCCAAAAAAGCACTTTTTCAAGCTGAAGGAATGTATTCGAGTGAAATTTTCCAAAAAAAAAAAGCATGAAGCGCACTTCTTTAATTTGTCGAGAAATAGCTATAAACTAGAATGCTACAGATCTCACTGAAATCCTATAAATGAAATAAAGTTACTGTGAACATTAATCAATCAACTTCACTTGAAATCCTAACTCAAGTGAACTACTGAATTCTATGCAATACATTCTGCTAATAACCAAAAAACACACATCTTTTGCAATCAATAAAGAATTAATAATAAGATTCCTACTAAGAGCAGCAATCAGATGTATAGCTAATCCAGAAACCCCAGCGAAATCAAGAACACGTATTAAGAACTCTAAATCACTAAGAGCAGCATTAGATCCCAAAAAATTAACTAAAAAAAGCTAGAAAAGATCAAAGATTTAGAAGGAAATGGATCAGATCTGTACCTTATTTGAGCTGAAAACGAGATTAGATCCAGAGACGATAAGGGTTTGCTCTCCTAACCCACTAGTGAGAGAGGAGAGTGTATCGAGAGAGGGGGAGTTTATAAAGAAAACTGAGCTCGATCTAAAACCTAAAACTTAAAATAAAAAATAAAAAACTTTCCCTTTTTTAATGGTTCTTCCCAATGGAATGAATTACTTGTTTTTATAAAGGGGCGGGAACGGGAAACGGGGTTAAGTGACGGTGTTCGCTTCTGTTGTCCCGTCGGAGTAGTTTAATAGACTAAACTTTCCGCTGACGTCAGCGACTGGATGAAGTAATTTGTTTCTATTTATGACGGGCATCGGTTAAATTAATAAGCGTTGAAGGCATATTTAAAGTTTCCGTTTACGGCGGTTGACACGGTTGACAATAGGTTTTTGCGTGAAGCAGACATAATTACAGGTCGGCATGATGGGCCGACCACGCCAAATTACATTTATGACATCGTATCCGGAACTTTTATTTGGGAATTTTCAATTTTAGCCACTTATTAGTTTTTAGTATTGTGAAACAACTCACTCAAACCATTAGAATTGCTATTTAATCCCTCAAAGCCTATTTTTATTAGAAACTATCCCCTCTATAGTTAACCATCGCTTTAATTTGAGGATCCTTCTAACCTAATTATCCTCTCAAAATATTTGTTTTGTAAGGTTTTCGTTTGAATGGACCAATATCGTTGGGGGAAAATTTCAGGTCAATCTCACAAAATCTCCTTAGATGTTTTTGCACATAACCTTGCAAAACTTTTTAAATCTCACAGAACTCCTTGAGCTTTGACGTGTCCCGTGAACCACCCCCTAACACACACACGCACGAATTTACATTTTTATAACCTAAAAATTTTTACATGTCATTTGCGAATAACTATAATTACATTGAGAGAGAAAAAATCTTCAATTGAGGGAAAAGAGTTATGTTTTCAGAAATTGACAAATCATTAGATATGAGGATTTTTTCCCCCCTCAATGATATTTTAGTTTTGTAAAAATTACGGGTACGGATCCGCTAAAAAAATTTTAAAAGTTCAATGGGCTCTTGTAAGATACCTCAAAGCTTAGGAAAGTTTACATGAGATAAAAAAAATATCCAAAGGATTATGTCCGAAACCCACCAAACACCGGGAGATGTTGAAACTGATCCTTTTTTTCTCTCCCAAATGAGAAGGGTAAATCCGTAATATCAGTGAAGTTGTCAAGGGTAGATTAGGGAGTGGGAGCGTCGGTGCGGTCTTTTTGGAGTAGCGGGCGCCGACAAGATCCCTCCCGCATTTTCTCAATTAGTAGGCACACTCACACTTGCTACCGCTTGGATCTGACCCAAACAATTAAAGAATAATAAAACAAAAAAAAAAAGAAAGAAAGAAAATAATGGTCGAGCGCCTAAGGCACTAGGTAAGTACAAATGGGCTACATTCTTTGCTAGCAGGCCGGACCCACACGGTTGAGTGATTATTAATAACGCGCTGTGATGTGGTCAAATATCGATGTCTTAGATTAAAAGCCTTAGTTTCACAAGCATGTGATATTTTCCCATGCTACATTGCTACATACTAATCTAATATTGTAATAACGTTTTAGATGCTCCCGTTATGGAACCATGGAGGGTGATATCATCGAAGAGAAATAAGTTTGAAGTAACATTAGTGATTTTACTCGTATATTTGCTCTTATGGGAACATAAGAATAAACGATCTTGTTAGTATAAGAGAAAAAATAATCTAGCAAAAAGAATAATTGCTTTTAAGAGCCTAAATTATCAAAACCCACGTAGAATCGACTTGCACTAGGATGGAAGTGAACCAAAAAATAATCATACTCTATTTAAATATACGAGTTGGGGAAAATCTTTTCATGGTTAATATTACTCTTAAATTTTTTTAAAATATTATATTGTTATCTTACTTTATTCTAATTTTTCTATATTCTTTGAATTTATAATTAAGGATTTATCCTATCCATAATAAGACTTAACATGTTATTGTATAAATGTGATTGTAGACGTATAAAATTGCTTATAGGTCCCTTAGCACAGTTCGGCACAAACCGACGAACCATCGGGCGACGTATCCAAACACGAGCGTCAGTCCACAACGCCAAAGCCAAGTGACACGCAACGAAGCAGATTAACGATGCGACGAGGCTAACGAACCAAGCTAACAGTTCGGTGAGTCAACGAGTCATCCAACCATAGAACGGATTTGAACTCAAACACCGAGGCGGATTTACTGCCATATTGGGATTCAGACTGTCAAATCAGAGTCCGGATCAACAACGAAGCGGGTTTACTGCCAAATCAGGATTCAGATCAACAAATCAGAGTCCAAATCAACCACGAGAGCAAAAAAAACGGCAAAACCCAAACACCAAGAGGACTCGGCCAAAACCGAGCCACCTATAGGTGGCTCGGTGGCCGAGCCACCTATAGGTGGCCAGCCCAGATCTGTGCCAAGGCACAGATCTGAGAGCCTATAAATAGACCCCCTTTGCTCATTTGTTAGAGGTTGGAAAAATTGGAGGCGAAGTTCTGCTGGATTCAAGGCTCAGAACTTAAAAAGATTGAAGCTTTGGAACTTTGAAGACTTGGACATATCAGATCTGGTTCTTGGCGATCATCCACGCCAAATAAGGTAGGAGTTCGAGAGAGATCAGATCTGAGATCTACACGGTTATCCTCTGGATCAAAACTTGGTTTTTGATCCCGAGAAGAGTCTCGAACTAAAGGCTATTATTTCCTTGGTGAAATAGTACCCATCGGCTGTTATTTCCTTCGTGAAATAGCACCCGTCATACCGTGTAGATCCGACCGGATCTAGATCGCGCGGTGGTCCACGGATTAACCCCGGTGCAGGCGAAGAACCCACAAAAACGAGTGACCGCAAAACAGGAGCTCGCGATTCGTTCGACAAACAAGGAAAGTTGTAATCTTTTTTTATTTATTTTTTGATCTCGTTGTAACCGGATCTTATAAAAAGACCGGATCTTTGTAATCGATAAACTATTACAAGAGAGTGTGCAATGACATCAATGAAGAACACAATTTTTCCCGCGAACAGCGCTGCCGAGATCGTCGCGTCGCAGCCGCGAATCTCAATCCCGGTCGAAGAGGAGGTCGAATATGAATTCGATCAACAGAAGTTCGAGGAGTATCTGTCATCCTCGTCCGGATCGACCTCCCCTCGCAAGTCCAAGAAGTTCTCCTCCAGGAGAAAGGTACGTTGGTACGAAGAAGTTGAAGCTACCAACGATGATCTCACCCCTATTGACGTCAAAGCTGCGTCGGGTGAGGCTCCACCAACCTCCAACCAGATCAAGCTGGTTCCAACCAATTCCTCCGTGCCAAGTATGGAAGCCGAAGTCTGAAGCGGTGATTCAGGCTAAGGCACAATCATTGCAGCCTTCGAAGCAGGTTCAACCTCCGGCGAGCCGACCAAAGTCGCCGGTAATTCCAATAGCTTCTCCGGGAGATCCCGCGGAATCATCCCGAAAAAGAAGGTCAGTTTTAGAGCGCCTCAGTCCAATTCCCGATGGAAGAAGCAAAGCTCTAGTTCAAGAACATTTGGGCCTGATGAAGAAGCCCCGAACGACTCAACATGCTGGGGGTCGCCGTCACCTCCAACATGACAACGAGTTCAAGGCAGCTGCGCGCGCCAATTTACGCATTGAAGTCCAGGAGCCCGCTGAGAATTCACGCCCAAAAAGAAGCCCAAGGAAGGCAGTTCGCCCTCAGAAGGAAACATTGTCGTCTGATAATGATGACGTTATACCTGAGAAGTCGTGCCAACACACGATAGGTTCCTCCGACCGTCAAGCCGACGAGTTATACTATCGTGATAGGAGTACGAGAAAAAACAGGAAGAGGAGTCCTCGAGGACTAGAAACTCAATGCTCCTGTTCCAAACTCATTCGGACAGTATTGTCTGAGTGCAACTGCATCAAGACGGTCCCCGAAAGAGTTTCGGTTTTCGAAAGGCTCAGTGCCGAAACGCCAAAACCAAGGCCTAGGCATTTCCGACGAAGAAGAAGAGTAGTCGAAGATGGAGAATTTCCGAGGGTCACCACGAATATGACCAGCAAATGGACGTCAACACATGAGAATCCCGAGTCGATTCCGGAGAATCCCGAGTCGATTCCGGAAGGACCCCGGCGGATGACCCGTCTGCAATCCGGAGCCATCATACGAGGAACTTATGGTAGGGTTCGGACAAGATTACTGTCAGAAGATGAAGAATCGGATGCCTGCTCTGCGGTCGCATCGGATAATACAGTATCCAGCGAGGGACAACCCCGCGAGTGGAGCCATCATACGAGGAACTTATGGGAGGGTTCGGACAAGATTACTGTCAGAAGATGAAGAATCGGATGCCTGCTCTGCGGTCGCATCGGATAATACAGTATCCAGCGAGGGACAACCCCGCGAGGCGTTTATGATAAGCGCGGAACAGGTGGCCAAGATGCTCGAAGAAGCCATGGCTAAACAGCAAGAGAGCTTCAAGCTCGAAATGCAGATGGCCATACAGAGTATGAGAGAAATGCATAGCAAGGTGAGCCAAATCGTCGTAACCAGATTGATCTGGAAGATGAGGAAGCTCATAATGCCAATAATCCTCCCGTCAATGCAGGGGGTGGTAACGAGAATGCTGATGAAGACTCAGGTGAAAACCTGAAGATTAAAAATCTCGAGAGCAAAATCAATACGTTGATTTCCGCTCAAGAGATGAAGAAGACGGGCATTCCTTGTCCATACCGCTTTGGCTAAGCAGAAAGAAAGTTTTAAATTCGAGATGGAGACGGCCATGCAGCAGATGAGAGAGATGCATGAACAGCAAATCCAAGCATTCAGGAACCAACAAGGTGAACCAAGCCACCGTAACCAGGTTGCTCAGGAAAAGGAGCACGCGGATGGGGATGAAGCTCACAATGCCAATAACCCTCCCATCAATGCAGGGGGTGGTAGTGAGGATGCCAACGGGGATACAAGTGAAGACTTGAAGATCAAAAGCCTCGAGAGTAAAATCAATACGTTGCTGTCTGCTCAAGAGGTAAAGAAAACGGGCATTCCTTGTCCATACCCGAGGGAATGGGAATCAATCCCCTATCCGGCGAAGTTTAGTCTAATCAACTTCACGCCGTTCGATGGA